GCCTGGGCACTTGGGGACCCTGACCTGAACTGTCTGGTGCAAGTGGACAGCTACCACCTTCTTCATGCAGTCTTTGATCATCTGGGAGGTAAAGAAGTTGGCCTCGCCTTTCTTGTCCACGGCAATCTTGCGGTAGTCCTCCAGCAGGATGGGGCAGATGGCCTGGGTGGGATGGGTCATGTAGATGGGTCCATCATAGCCCACCATCTCGCTGAAGTAGGGGAGTGCTCCACAGTGGTCCAGGTGGAAGTGGCTGGAAGGACAGGCACCAGTTGGCCTGGGATCACCCTCTCTCAGCCACCCCACTCCAGTTCTGGGCTCATGGGTCACTCCACTCATTCACTGAAGACACCCTCCTGATTACTGAAGTCAAGGATAACAAATAYAAGAACCGCTATCTTCCCAAATGTGCAGCCTAAACACGCAGAGCAGGAAACAAATCGGTAACTAAAACACGTCTTAGCTATAGACGTGCTCTGCACAGAAACAAGGCAGCTGAGGGGGATGGCATCAGAGGAGGGGAGAGCTGTTGTCTCTACCCCAGGGTAGGCAAGCAGCCCATGACCATGTCCCAAACCACAGACATCCAAGCAGCCGAGGACCCAGCTTCCCAACATAGGGTGCTTCAGCCCAAAGGACTCCTCTGGCCACTGAGAGACAGTACCAGAATGCTGAGGCAATCAGGCAAGGCCACTCAGAGCAGGTGGTGACAGCAGGGATTGATGGGATAGAGCCTGAGGGTGAGAGCAGGGAGGGGGAAGGCAAAGGTGCCTCCCCTGAATCAGCCTGTCAAGCTGGGGAGGTGACAGGTGGCTAGGGAGACCACGAACCTAGAGCGAAGTGTTAGGATCAGGGTCAGGAATGAGAACAATCAGTGGGCTTAATGTTCCAGAGACAGCAAAAGAACGGGACCAAGGCTGGGGTTGGGGAGAAAGAGCAAGGAGATGGGGTGTGTGACCAGTGAAACAGGACAGAACCAACCAGAGGACCCAATCTCTGCTACCCAGTCAGGGCCTGAAGAGCAGCCTGGGATGAAGGTGAAGCATACCATCTAGGCACTGCCCTGCCCCACTCAGCTTCTTAGGGCACTTACCAGACTCTAGTCCACACACTTGGGGACACAGTCAGCAGGGACAATTAGCATGGAGTGCCCCCTAGTTCTGAGGGGCTGACCACCACCCTGAGTGCCACACAGGAAACCTGGGGACAGGACTCCATGACACAGTCAGCAGGCAAGACACCACACCTGTAGCCTCTGTGGGTAGGGGAGGAGAAAGGCCCCTAAAGGAAGCCGACCTGATGATCACACAGTCCAGGAAGTCAGTCAGCCGGCCATTCTGGGTGATGTAGGAGAAGTCAGGAAAGCGCCTCTGAGGAGAAACCATGGGAGAGGTRAGAACACAGCAGGCCACCGCAGTCTCCAGGAATGGGGGCATACAGCTGGCACCCCAGGAGTAGCATACACCCAGCTGATAGCRTCAACCACTGGCTGCTCACAGCTGCCTGGAAGGACAAGCTGCTGGCTAAAGTCACCACCAACCTCACTACCCAGCACCTCCTAAAGCCCAGCCTACAGAAACCCAGCAGGAACCAGGGAGCCTCACCCCACCCTGAATGGGTACAGCTGGCCAGGCATGCTCACTGCTGCCCACTTGCCTTCTCACTCCAAGACCCAGGGATCCTATAACAGACAACTACAAGGAGCAACTGCGAGATGGACCCTCCCTCCGGGCACCTGCATTCAGGACTCACATCATCATTGAAGCCCATGTGCATCCCGCAGTCCAGCATGACATTCTTGCCCGCGATGGAGACCAGGATGCAGCTGCGGCCCACATCCTGCCCAGCCCCTGCTCAAGAGAAAGGGCAGGTGATAGGTATGGCCATACCTCCTCCTTCTGCCCCCAAATTCCCTCTTTCACTGCTGCAAGTGCTGCCCGCACTGTCACCTCCCAGACTCTGCAGAGCTGAGCTGGGGCACTGGACCCCAAGGCCRCTGTATAGACAGAGCATGGGCTAAGAAGACAGCCACCTCCACTTGCAGGCAAGAGAAATGCACAGGGAGGGGACGAAATGCTGAGCTACTAGCCTAGGGTCAAAGTGCCCTCTTCCACCAAGCTTCCCCTCAATTCTCAAAGTTGGGGGCAACCCCAATGGAAGATACCCAAGCACTGGCTGTGGTCCTAGCTCYAATAACAGGCAAACCACTGCTCTGTGGGTCTCACTGCTGCTCTCAAGTTCCAGAGCTTGACAGGGCCATTTGTGGGCACTTAGCCAAGCTGTGAACTGAGGTCTTCTMTTTTGGGACTCATTGGGGGGTCCAGGGTGCCTTATGGTGGTACTGCTACAGAAAGACACCCAGGTGGCCTCAAGTCACTCACAGGGATACAGCCCTGGCTGTCCAGCAATAGCCGACAACTATGGCTACAGCAGGAACAACCCAACCCAGGCAGTGGGAATGCTGTGCCACACCACTGCATCCCTAGCTCTTGCCAACCATGGTCCCACTCATTCTTCTGACTTCCAAGAGACCCCACCAGCTTCTGCAGTCTAAGGCCTTGGCCAGATGGAAACACACCTGACCCTATGTGGCCATCTGTCACTTCCTCTGGAGCCTGGAAGCTACAAACAGAGGAACACAGCCCAAGCCTCAGTGGGGATCTGAGGACACCAAATAGTCTGGTTTCCACCTTAAATCCTACACATCTGCTTCTGCCATCTACCTGAACCAACCATCTGGCAGCATCATACCCATCAAGTTGACCTGGCCATGACCCACCAGCCTGCTGGTTTCAGGCAGGCATGGCAGGGGTCTTGGGTTGTCTTGCAGACAAGAGCCCCAGAGGAGAGGGTCCCAGCTGTCTCTTCCCTACTGCACCTCTAGACTTGAGGCCAAGTCAGGTCCAGAGACCCTCCAGATGTTTATGGGAGGGGAAAGGGAAGGACCCRGGGTCATGGAAGCACCCATGAGCACATAGCCACAAAGTACAGGGCCAGGTTTGGTGACCCGAATTCCAACACTAGTTCTTAGGCACTGGCAGTTCTTCCAAAGCTCCGGAACCATGGCTGGAAAGACTCTGGAGAACATGACTTCCCAGCAGGGGGTGAGTGGGTAGGAAGATGGAAGGACAGCTGTGYAAAGGCCCTACAGTGGAGTAACCTGGGGAGACTATCTGGCCAAGGGGATCTGGAATCCCGAGCAGGACATCCAAATGGAAAGATCCTCCAGACACTCTGTTCAGGGAAGGAAGCAAGTTCTAGGGCCACAAATAGCATATGTGCACACAGAAAGCCAGAGATATTGAGACAGTTTCTGGGACTCTGGATTTCAAGACCTCAAGAAGAGCTGGAGTTGTGGCTCAGTGGTAGAGTGCTTGCCTTGTATGCGTGAGGCACTGGGTTCAGTTCTCAGCACCGGGTTCAGTTCTCAGCAACATATAAAAATAAATAAACAAAGGTATTTTGGGGCTGGGGATGTGGCTCAAGTGGTAGCAYGCTCGCCTGGCATGCGTGCCACCCAGGTTCGATCCTCAGCACCACATACAAACAAAGATGTTGTGTCCACCGAAAAACTAAAAAAATAAATAAATATTTAAAAAATTCTCTCTCTCTTAAAAAAATAAAGGTATTTGTCCATCTACAACTAAAATAAATAAATAAATATACATATATACATATACATATATATATAAAAGACTTCAAGAAGTGTGAATCTATACTTTTTTCTCAAAAGTGAAGCTTTTTTTTTTTTTTTTTTTTTAACGTTGCAGACACTGGCAAGACAGGATGCTACTGAAGGTTGGTTGGGGGTAACCTTGGCATGAGCAGCAGAGGGTGGAGGTGGGACACAGCCAGAGAGAGGAACCAAACGGTGGAGGTGGAGGGGAGCTGAGGAAGCAGAGGTGGGCACAAAGGGTGTTCAAGCAGCAGTTCACGTGCAGGGAGGGGTCAGCACGCTGATGGAGGCACCCACAGCCATGATGTAGACCCGGTGGCTGGACTTAAACCCACTGCGCGGCTAGACACAAAAACAGCACCTCCGCAGGACCCACACTGTACCTGCTAGCCACCTAACCCCAGGTGGTCTCATGCTGGTTTCAGTGCTAAGGAGCCTGAGTATGGTAACTGAGCCCCCTTGAAGTCACAGCAAGCTCTGGAGCCAAGACCAACCCCCAAACCTTTGGACCTCGAGCCAGGAAGAGGAGGCGAGGAGGCCCCGGCTCTGACCTGCCCCTACTCCTGCCCCGCGCCGCCTGCWCACAGTCTCCCAGTGGGTACAGCGCAGGCGGCCCGCGGGGGCAAAGGCGCCCGGCCCTCAGAGTGCGCAGACTCAGGGCAAAATGCCGCACGTCCTCGGCGGCTCCGACTCACCCAAGGGAGTCACTCTGATCTCAGGCATCCTGCGCTCGCGGCGGGCCCTCAGCGCAGATGCTCCGTGCTCCGCTGACAGGGAGGGCCAGGGACGCGCCACCCAACTAGCCGCGGCGACGCACTGCGCAGGTGCCACCACGGCGCCAACTTCCGGTCTGCTCGCCGGAAACGCGGGCTGGTGCGTGGAATCCGGATTGGACAGGTGGCCACCAATCAGAGTGCACAGGAAGGGCAAGGAGGCGGGGCGAGGAGGGGCGGGGCCGCGCTCGCCACACCTGCCCAACCGCAGGTTAGGAGAGGTGAGGCCGCCTCGTAACTGGTGAGAACTGGCGCGGGGGAGGCGGGGCGAGCGAGGAGCCGGCTCCCCAGCCGCTCCGCGCCGCGCCCCGCCGCGCAGATCTGCGGCCCTGGTCAACCCTCCCCGCCATCCGGATTCTGCCGCGCCCTAAGTCCCGCAGCAGGAGCAGAGACCCGCCAGCCCGGTGCCCGCTAGACTGCTAGGTGAGACTTGCAGGCGGTCAGCCGGGCCCGCATGCCAGGCTTGGAGTGCCAGAGGGGACGTGCTGATGGACGTCCAGCCTGCCCTCCTGCCGCGCCCTGCCTTCCCCGGGGGAGGCTCAGAGGTACTTCAGGGAACTGGCCGGCTGCCGGCTCCCGGCTGCACAGACACGGCCCTTCCTGTTCCCGCCCCTCCGGGGACAGCGCTGAGAGGCCCCTGGCAGTCCTTCCGCTGGCTCGGGTTCTGGGCAGGAAGGCTAGACCCCGAAAGACATTGGGTGGCCAAGAAGGAACCCCTGGAGTCTTGGAGGCATCTGCTCAGTGAACAGCACTAGGCCCTGAGAGAGGGGAGGACCTGAGGCCCAGGCTCTGCAGCCCTCCACCCCTGAAGACACTGTGAGCCCGTCTGCTCGGGCTCCACCCTTACCAAGCAGGCAGCCCAACCCGTGGAACCTGCTGGTTCTCCTCCCGCACTGGCTCACAGGAGGCTGGGGCAGCCTGGGCCTGGGAAGGGCAGAGAGTGCAGAGTGTTTTCCTGAGAGCTCAAGGACTTTGTGAGTGAAGACAGAACCTGTGTGGAGATCCAGCTGTCCAGTCCTGTCGGGCTCTCAGGTAGGGAGGCCAGACAGGGCTCCCAGCATCAAGGGGCACAGGAACCTCCAGCCCCTAGTGGGGTGAGTGTTCATCCTGGACATAGGTGAGACGCAGTCAGGTACCCAGAGCCCATTAAGCACTCCCACAGGTTTGCCATGAGCCCCAGGCCCTTGGGGCACCCAGGAAGGTGGGTGCTGGGGTGATTGGAGGCAGACCAAGGTGTGGGCACTGGGATGTCTGTGGAGTGACCTCAGAGACACAAGCAGAATCCAGAGCCTGTTCCCACCTTGAGAACTTGATCCTGGACCATTTCCAGAATGTTCCCTGGASTGTTCCTTTGGGGAGGGCCTGTGGCAGTCTTCTGAATGTGGTAAGACCTTTAGCCGAGCCACCCTTCTGTATGGAATGTGTGTAGGTCCAACGGCAGGAGGAAAGATGGGTGTCCACCTGTGCAGCAGATGCTGGCCCCACAGCCTGTACCCTGGCCTTAGAGTACAGCCACAAGCAAGGAAGAGAAGTCTGCCCAGCCACCCTCCCACCTGCTCTGGCGCTCCTATCTCTGTCTTCCACAGTGTCTGTCTCCTCGTCTACTGTGTCAGAAGTGCCTACTGTCTCAGAGTCCGTGTTTCTATTAGGATCTAAACCCCTCATCAGAATGTTGCCTTCACAGGGGGCTTCAGGTGCAACCATGCTGAGGTAGCGCCTGTCTCTCAGAAGGATTTCCCCACTGTGAAACAGGGATTTTAGGGAAAGAAATCAAAACAAATAAGCAGGAAGCCTTGACAGAGGGGCCTGCTGCAAACACGAGGCAGCTGGGGGTCCTCAGGTCAGGGGCTGACCTGAGTCAGTGGCATGAATGACAAGGAGGAGCCAGGCCCAAGTCTGTGGGTATGAGGTCTGTGAGAGAGCCTGTGGCTCCGGGAGGGGGGCACTCAGCGTAAGAGAATGGGGCTTCGTCAGGGGCAGACAGTGGCAGGACCCCAGCTATTTCAACTGTTCCTCCATCTTCCCACCTCCCTGAAATAAATGAGCTACAGAGAGAGCTGACCCAGCAGAGGACCCACAAGCTCTGTGTGGAACTGTTTTAGTTTGTGTTAGAAAATGGATGGCTTGGAGGCGGAGTTCAACCTGAAGCTTGTGCTGGTCAGCTTCCAGCAATGTCTCAGCGAGGAGGAAGAAGTACTGCTGGACCACTACATCGCCGGCTGGAAGGGGCTGGTCAGGTGCGTGCACAGGGCACCTTCCTACAGAGGTCCCCAAGATAGCAGCTTTCCCTGATGGAATCCACTTGCCAGGGCACAGAGCAGGCATGCTGGTGGGCTGTTCTCTGCCAGTCTTCTCACCCCTGCCTCTGGGCCAACATGTGCCCACAGTCTGAGGGTGGTGTCCCTGGGAACAGGTTGGGTACTCTGGGTTTGGGTGAGACCACAAGTTCTGTCTTTGCTGCACAGGTTTCTGAATAGCCTAGGCACCATCTTCTCCTTCATCTCAAAGGATGTGGTCTCCAAGCTGCAGATTATGGAGCGTCTACGCAGCAGCCCCCAACATGAGCACTACATGAGCCTGCAGTCCATGGTGGCCTACGAGGTGGGCAATAAGCTGGTGGACCTCGATCGCCGCTCCCGCCACCCAACCTCAGGCTGCCGGACCTTGCTGCGCCTGCACCGCGCTCTGCGCTGGCTACAACTGTTCCTGGAGAGCCTGCGCACCAGCCCCGAGGACGCGCGCACCTCCGCACTCTGTACCGACTCCTACAATGCCTCTCTGGCCGCCTACCACCCCTGGATTGTGCGCCAGGCAGTCACCRTGGCCTTCTGCACCCTGCCCACACGCAAGATCTTCCTTGAGGCCATGAACGTGGGGTCCCCGGAGCAGGCTGTGGAGATGCTGGGCGAAGCCCTGCCCTTCATCGAGCGTGTGTACGAAGTCTCCCAGAAAGTCTATGCAGAACACTCCCTGTTGGACTTGCCATAGTGGCCACTCCCAGGCTGGGTGGGCTTCCCCTGCTGGAGAGCTGGACTTGGGCAGCCAGGGCCCATGCACTCCACAACAAAGCTTTCTGGGTGCCACCCTTACCCCTGCAGGCTGAGCTTATTGAGAGCCATCAGCTGACAGGAAGGCAGGCAGCTGGCCTAGGAGAGGTGGCACAAGCCCTCCTCTTGGCCCAGAATGAGACCCTCCTCAGTTACAAGAATGCTCAGTCGAGCCTCACTGAGGCGTGGAGACTGGAGGTGGTGGGGGCRCATAATCCTGCATGAGCAACAGCCTGGTGACTGCCCTACTGCTATGTGTGGATTCTGTGAAATGGTGTGAGGACACAGGTCCCTGGGCACCAAGGCTCTGTGCTGCTCCGGCCAGTATGCCCAGCCCACACGTATACTTCCCATGCTTGTCCTAGGCCAGGCCTCGGACACAGCAGGCCAAGCTGCCCGAGTCCTCTCCATACCCTGGCTGGCTATCCCGAGGCAGAATGAGAACCTTGGGCAGGGTCTGGGTACTGAGGACTCTCCCAGGCCTTTACCTGCCTCCTGTTAGCCTGTCTGCCTGCTGAGCAAACCAGAGCCTTCATGTCCTTGGCACTGGCACCTGGAAACTAAAGTCTTGAGCAGAAAGACCTTCCCAGCTATCTAAATAGCTCCTGCAAGGAGGGCTTGAGCTCCCCCSAGGGACCCAGCAGGCTGTCTCCTGCAGAGATACCATTGCAGGCCACCCCTGCATGGCCCAACACCACTGGGTGGAGCCAGGCATWCCCTCTGCCCCTGCTCTGCTGCCTTTCCCCACAGTGCTCAGGAGATGGGGGGTGCCCAGACTAGGAGGGGGCTGGACCCCCTTAACTAGCTGACAGTTATCAGATGGCCACACCATCCAGCCATCATGCAATGCTTAGGGGCCTAGTCACTCCCACTGCTCTTCACCAACCCACAGGGACAGTGTTCTCAGGGCAGCAGATGTGCCTTAATGCAGCTTCCAGGGTGTGCTTGGCCCTTTGGAAAGTGATATGTGTGATACCGTCCAACATAATAAACAATGCTCATGGGACTAGTTATGGCATTCCACGGTGGGGTGTTGGGTACTCCAGGTGCCTGGTTACTTTGGGGATGACCATGGAGGTAATCTGCAAGAGCATGGAGGAGCCTGACTCCAGACAGGCCTTAGGCATGTGCTCCCAACCCCAAGAACTCAAAAGGCTTTTTTGACCATGAGCACACAAGGCATGCCCAGGGCAGAAGCCGGCTCTGTGATGCTGCTTGTGCTTGCTCTGAGGGCTTTATCTCGGTTCCTCACCATGAAGACCAAATCATCCCCATTTTACAGGGAGAAATCTGACACCCAGGGTCACCTACACGAGAGGCTGGGTAGGAAGGACAGGCCTGAAGCTACACAGGTTGGAAGAGAAAGGTCTTCCCAGGCCAAGGCCAAATGTAGGTGGGGACTGCTCTCTGCCAAGACAGCCAGCTGGACAGGAAGAGGATGCACATTGGGCATGGTCCTCTTGGCACTCCCCACAAGGTCAGGGTCCACTTGGGACTAGCCAGAGAGCAAGGCTGCAGGTGCATTGTGTGTGTGGTGCCCACGTGTGCACTCTGGGCCCCTTGCCATGCAACAGTGAAGAGGCACTGGCCGGCTCCACCTCCCATAAGTCTGTGCTGGGCCCAGTGGAGCCCAGTCTCCCCCAGCTCCTCCCAGTGCTCCTCCCAAGGGCTTCGCAGACTCGGGCTGAGAAGAGGCCCAGGGTGCCTACAGCTGTTTCAGCCCATTTGGTTATGACTTTTCCTCCCTCATTTGCATGAATCTGTCCCCAGAGGGGGTACCTACATATCAGTCAAGGTGAGAGTACCTGGGCCAGGAGTTAGCTGAGTGGGGCATAGTAGGAATAGGGTTCTCACAGCTTGCAGGGAACAGGCCAGATCCTCAAGGGATCCGTCCTGCTCCTGGACAGCCTCCACCCCAAGACCCATTTCACACCCCAGTGGTATGGCAGAGGACTGGCCGTCTCCCAGCTGGTCTGTAGGCCTGGCAAGGCCATCCCTGCAGCCTCCTAACTACGGACAGTGCTGCTTGAATTGGAAGCCAGGACTCCCAGAGCTAGAGAGAACCCCCCAGGATATGGCACCTCTTGCCTCTCTCCCAGTCACTTGAGACCCCAGGGCCCTAGACACCTCCTCTCTTCTAGTCTGGCAGGTGGCTCCAGGAATGGGGGTGATGAGGGTCTTGGTATAAGCAGGATACAGGCCTCGGCTGCCTGCCAGGTCACCATTGGCCAGAGAGCCCAGTGGTGATGTCWCGGTAAGTTCAGGAGCACAAACCTTCAAGGCCTGGATCACGGCATTCCTGGGGGGCCCTGGAGGATTGGCAGGTGGGCGTGGTGCTGGTTTTGCTAAACAAATCAAACAAATCTTTTACCTCCCCCTGGGCTTTACATCTGGGGCTCCTGTCTGGCACACCCATTTGTCCTTGCTGGAAGTAACTGCCTACCATGCCAGGCCTGGCTGTGCTAGGCCTCCTCCTGGCAGCTCTCCTGGGCCTGGGGACAGGGACCTCCTTGTGCCTGTCACGGCAACTCAGGATGGAAGGAGACTACATGCTGGGTGGGCTTTTTCCCCTGGGCTCAGATGAGGAGGCCGGCCTCCGCCACAGGACACGGCCCAGCGGCATTGTGTGCACCAGGTATGAAGGCGGGCAGCTGGGGCAGAGGGAGGGTGTGTGCCCAGGTCTGTGGTGCTCCCAGGAAGGGATGAGGTGCAGCCACCTGCAGCCCTGTGTGGCTTCAGGTTCTCATCCCTTGGCCTGTTCCTGGCGATGGCCGTGAAGATGGCTGTGGAGGAGATCAACAACAGTTCTACCCTGCTGCCCGGGCTGCACCTGGGCTATGACCTCTTCGACACATGCTCAGAGCCCATGGTCACTATGAAGCCCAGCCTCATGTTCCTGGCAGAGGCAGGCAATAGCAGCATTGCTGCCTACTGCAACTACACGCAGTACCAGCCCCGCGTGCTGGCAGTCATCGGGCCCCATTCGTCAGAGCTGGCCCTCATCACGGGCAAGTTCTTCAGCTTCTTCCTCATGCCACAGGTGGGCCTGCCGCTCCTGTGTCCCCCATGGGCCCTGCCTGAGGGAGCCCTCACRCCAAGGGTCTCTCGGTCACCACAGGTCAGTTACGGGGCCAGCATGGACCGACTGAGCAACCGAGACGCGTTCCCGTCCTTCTTCCGCACGGTGCCCAGTGACCGGGTGCAGCTGGAGGCCGTAGTCAAGCTGCTGCAGAAATTTGAGTGGAACTGGGTGGCTGCCTTGGGCAGTGACGATGAGTATGGCCGGGAGGGCCTGAGCATCTTCTCAGGCTTGGCCAACGCACAGAACATCTGCATTGCACACGAGGGCCTGGTGCCACCCCTTGGCGCTGACACCCTGAAGCTGGATAAGGTGCTGGACGTGCTGCGCCAGGTGAACCAGAGCAATGTGCAGGTGGTGGTGCTGTTTGCTTCCGCCCGGGCTGCCCACGCCCTTTTGCTCTACAGTATCCACCACAACCTCTCGCCAAAGGTGTGGGTGGCCAGTGAGGCCTGGCTGACCTCAGACTTGGTCATGACACTGCCTGGCATTGCCCGGGTGGGCACTGTGCTTGGCTTTCTGCAGCAGGGTGTCCAGCTACCCGAATTCTCCCAGTATGTGGAGATGCAACTAGCGTTGGCCTCTGACCCAGCCTTCTGTGCCTCTCTGGATGATAAAGCAGACCTGGAGGAGCACGTGGTAGGGCCACGCTGCCCCCAGTGTGACCACATTACCCTGCGGAACCTGTCGACAGGGCTGCTGCAGAACCTGTCGGCTGGGCAGCTGCACCACCAGATTTTCACCACCTATGCAGCTGTGTACAGTGTGGCTCAGGCCCTCCACAACACGCTGCAGTGCAGCCCCACGAGCTGCCCTGCACGAGAGCCTGTGCGACCCTGGCAGGTGAGGATAGGGCTCCAGGGTTCAGTGCTGGCCCCTTACTGGACAGGGCCAACACCCCTCTTAGCTGGAGGTAGCTGATGGGTCAGCCCCGCTTCCCTACCCCATCCCCCAGCTCCTGGAGAACATGTACAACATGAGCTTCCGTGCTCGAGGCCTGGCACTGCAGTTCGACTCCCAGGGGAACGTGGACATGGAGTACGACCTGAAGATGTGGGTGTGGCAGAAGCCGACACCCAGGCTGCACACTGTGGGCACCTTCAATGGCAGCCTTTGGCTCCAGCCCTCACAGATGCACTGGCACATGCCAGGCAACCAGGTGAGCACGAAGCACCCGGGTCCCCACCACAGTGGTGCCCCAGGGCCAGGCCGGTCTCGGGAACGGGGAATCTCTGGGTCTCAAGGTGCCCGTGGGTGGAGCCAGACACTGCATCCCCACACCCAGGTGCCTGCATCCCAGTGCTCTCGGCAGTGTGAAGAGGGCCAAGTCCGCCGCGTGAAGGGCTTCCACTCCTGCTGCTACGACTGCGTGGACTGCAAGGCAGGCAACTACCGGCAGAGCCCAGGTGAGCTGCCCTGGTGAGGTCTGCGCGGCTCAGAGCCTGGGGAGAGTCCTGAAAGCCCCGGCTCCATGGCAGGGCCAGGCTGGGGAGCCTGTGATCCCAGTACCAGCCCCCAGCACCCTCTCTCCTACCCTCCCACAGATGACTTCGTCTGCACCCCATGTGGCCAGGACCAGTGGTCCCCAGAGCGGAGTACGCGCTGTTTTCCCCGCAGGCCCAGATTCCTGGCATGGGGGGAGCCAACTGTGCTCCTGCTGCTCCTGCTGCTCAGCCTGGTGCTGGGCCTGACACTGGCTGCTCTAGGTCTCTTTGTCTGCCACTGGGACAGCCCACTGGTTCAGGCCTCAGGTGGGCCACTGGCCTGTTTTGGCCTGGCTTGCCTGGGACTCGTCTGCCTCAGTGTCCTCCTGTTTCCAGGCCGGCCAGGCCCAGCCAGCTGCCTTGCCCAGCAGCCACTGGCACAGCTCCCACTCACTGGCTGCCTGAGCACACTCTTCCTAAAGGCAGCAGAGACCTTTGTGGAATCAGAACTGCCACCAAATTGGGCGACCCGGCTGCATGGCTGCCTGCGGGGTCCCTGGGCCTGGCTGGTGGTGCTTCTGGCCATACTGACAGAAGCAGTGCTGTGTGCCTGGTACCTGGTGGCTTTCACACCAGAGGTGATGACAGACTGGAGGGTGCTGCCCACCRAGGCACTGGTGCACTGCCACATGCGCTCCTGGGTCAGCCTGGGCCTGGTGCACATCACCAACGCCTCGCTGGCCTTCCTCTGCTTTCTGGGCACCTTCCTGGTGCAGAGCCAGCCTGGCCGCTACAACCACGCCCGCGGCCTCACCTTTGCCATGCTAGCCTACTTCATCACCTGGGTCTCCTTCGTGCCCCTCCTGACCAATGTGCAGGTGGTCTACCAGCCTGCTGTGCAGATGGGTGCCATCCTCCTCTGTGCCCTGGGCATCCTAGCTGCCTTCCACCTACCAAAATGCTACCTGCTCCTGTGGTGGCCCAGGCTCAACACCCCTGAGTTCTTCCTGGGGGCAGGTCCTGGGGATGCCAGGGACAGGGGCAGGAGTGGGAGTAGGGAGGGGCCTCAGGGAAACGAGGGACCCTTAACCCCACACCCTCATACCTAGTGACTCCAGCCCTAGTAGAGGTACCCCCAAACCCAGCAGCCCCCCAGACTGTGCCCCCACAAAGACCCTCAAGCTCTGGATTCTGACCCCAAGTGTCTGCAAACCTTGAGCCCACTGTGATGCCGAGGCCTGTACCAAGTGGGAGAGGAMCTGTGACCCCACCCCAGGGTATCAGATGCAAGCCTTTGTCTTGACTCTGCCAACCAAGGTCTGACCAGGAGGCTTGGGCCCACCATCCTGGGAGGTGGTCCACAGAGGGTGCCTTAAGACCTGCAGCCACACTGTGAACTCTGCAAAGCCCTTTCCAGTCACCAGTAGCCAGGTAGCATATTGCTCACCTGGCTGCATCCAGCCTGGGGCCTCCACCTAGCCCCCTGCAGGTGTTAAAGGAGTGGAAGGTGGGCAGGAGCACATGACCAGGGCAGGAAGGGAGGGCCAGCAGGGCAGAGGGCTGCTCAGGGAAGAGAGGGCCTCCTTTCTCCTTGGCCTACCCAGGCCAGCACCATGGACAGAGCCCAGGCAGAGGTGGGGGTCAGCACCATGGCCAGCGCTGGCCACTGGGACCCCTGAAGCCAGGAGCCAGCACCAAGGACAGAAAACTGCGGCCAGGACCCCTGCTGCCATCCAKCACCAGGGACAGAGCCTCACAGACAGAGGAGCCGGAGGACAGCAGCTGTCCAGGACCTCGGGTCAGAGACCAGGGACAGCTCCAGGCTGGGCCCTGCATCCTGCCGAAACCCAGCCAGTGAAGGGACATGGCTCACACACAAGTCCCATAAAATTAAATGCTTTTTAGTGTTTAAAATAGCATTTACACAGAAGCAGCTCTACATGAACTAGACGCGGGACTGACACAGTATCTACAGCGCAGTGAGCAGGGCCGGGCGTGCCCGAAAAGACAGTGGCACAACGGCCCCAAGGGAGTCACGGAGCGCAGGGTGCCCCCTGACCTGCCCCCCACCATCCACCACACGCTTCCAGGCTCAGCCTGTGCTCCCCTCCTCTCTGGGTCCCAGGAGGGCAGGGGAATAGGCAGCCACCCCCAGCTGGGCAGGGAGGGGGACAGCTGACTAGCCATTCCCCCAGAGTGGGCAGGCTGGCAATAAATAAATAAGTTAGACCCCACTCTGGGCAGCCAGAGGGGTCTGGGGGCTCTAATCCTGCCACTCGAGGTCCCCACCAGGGCTGACAGGTGAGGCCTGTGCACTGTGTGAGGAAGGCTTCAGGCCCACCTTCACGTGGCTCTGGAAGTGGGAGCAACATGAAGCCAAAGAGGGCATCCTCATCCCCAAGGGGGGTCAGAGGGTCCCTGAGGCTCAGGCCAAGGACAGAGATGGTCCCCCCAAAAGGCTCTGCAGATACAAGCCGCTCTACCGCAGGAAATGCCAGATCACAGCAATGGGCTGACCTCGGCCCTCGCCTCCAGCCTGCTCCCACGACCCCTGGCCAGCCTCCACCACGTAGGCCCACAGAGCTCCTGTTGTAGGGGCCACTGTTCCCCCCATGGGCAGGGTTGAAGGCACAGGCGGCCAGTTACATGATGTCTACAAAAAACTCACAGGGGTTCCCCATGGCCTTCTGGAAGGACTGGCGACTGCCTGTCAACTCTGGGGGGACGGCAGCCAGCTCCCGGACAGGTGGCCCACCAGGTGGCCCGCCCACCACTGCATAGGCCTTGGTCAGGGGGTGTAGTGGGGGGAGCCCTGGGGCAACGGCTGAGAGCTGGCTGTGGGGGCTGCTGCCCCGGCTGAGCTGGCTGACTGGTCGCTCCCGCCTGCCAGTGCCGCCCGACCCACTCAGCACCGTGTGGTCTGACTCGCTGCCACTGCCCCTGGCTCCAGCTGCCCGGCGCTCCTCCTCTCGGCCCAGGGCCCGACGGCTGCTCCGGGTGGACCCGCTGCTTTTGCTCCCTAGGGGTGAGAAGGGAGAGAAGGATGATAGGGTCAGCTAGGCCTGGCCATTTCCAGGACCCCTGGCTGCTCCCAGGCAGGCAGGCAGGCAGGGCAGGACGGGGTGGGTCTGAGCAGGTGGAATGTGAGGGACAGCCATGCAGACACAGGGCAGGGCTGGCCCCACCCCAGGAAGCAGGAGCAGCTGCAGAGGCAAGGGGGCAGTGGCTGGCAACAGGGGCACAAGCCAGTGTGGTACCCACACCTCACCCCAGTGCTCAGACCAAAGGCTGGTCTCCAGCCGAGTGATGGAGGCACCAGCAGAGACCTGTGTCCTGGCCGACGTGTCAGCACTCCTGGGCTCCCACCCGGAGACCTCTGTCCACCCAGTCCCAGGGCCCTGGACAGCTAATTGGCTCAGCCCCTCTCCTGGGCTCCCAGGAAGTGGTGGGAACCTGAGGACACAGGCTGGCTGGGGACACGCTGAGAGGGACGCCGGGGGGGACCCTGGCTTACCGGCCCCGAGGGTCCACTCCGCTAGTCCTTCAGTCTAAGGCTTGCTCAGCACAAAGCAAGGGATACATGAGTCACACACCAGCCGGGCACTCACACCCGCCACCAGCGAGGCCTGACCAGAGCTGGGTAGGGCTGGATGGCTGCAAGGGCCTGTCCAGGGTTCATGGATACCCAATAGCTTCCCCTTGGGCACTGCCACCCTCTGGCCCGCCTCACGTTTCCCATCCTTCTCTGGGTCCCCTGGGCTGGCTACCTGCAACTCTCCCAGACCCTGCAAGCATGGCCGTGGGCCTCACTGTATTCCATGTGGCCTCACACATCTGCTCTAGCAAGCCAACTCCCTGGGGACTCCCGTGTCCTCTGGGCCCTGGGGCAGGGTCTTCTGAGGCACTGTCTCCTGGCTGAACTGCAGGCTCCACAGGAGACACGGTCTGTCCTCTCCTGTGTCCCAGGGTCTGATGCCTGGAGCCACCCCCACCCCYGCACCTGTCACACCACCTCCTAGCCTCCTGTCGGCCACACCTGGAGCACCAGCCCCCACCCCGCCAGGTGCCCGAGGTCCCCTATGGGACTCGACCCTGTCCCCCAACACTGACTCAGTTAGGAGCCTGCCCCTGGCAGGCACACAGCGGGAGTGCAAGGGCAGCAGCAGGGCAGCGAGCCGGGGCGGGGCAGGGCAGGGCRGGGCGGGGCCTGAGCGCTCACCTTCACTCTGCTGGCTGCCAGCACTGCCACTGCCGTAGCCAAAGCCAGGGTCCTGGTAGGCAGGCGGAAAGCAGGGCGGGGGCCCTGGGTACTGGTAGGGGTAGCCCTGACCCAGGGGCCAGGGTGCTGCCGGGTGGGGCAGCGGGGCCAGGGTGTCCTGATCGGAGGCTCCACTGGAGCCACTGTTGAGGGTCAGGGCTGCGAGATCTGGCAGGAGAGAGGGGGTGGGTGAGGGTGGCACAGGGCCGTGGGGTGAGCCCACCACGCAGCCTCACTCACTGCTGCACAGGTCCCCGAAGACGTAGTAGCACTGCTCAGAGAAGGTGACCTTATTGACCGTGTGCCGCAGGAAGCCGTGCTTCAGCATGCCGCTGGCGTACTTCCTGGCCTCTCGCCGCTCCTTGAAGCCCTCCACGTGGGTGTACAGCCAGTCCACCACATCCGCCCCTGGCCCCACGCCCGCTGCGTCAGGCCAGGTCACTCTGGGCCGGCCACCCACCCTGCAGAGGAGCAGACTCAGCCCCCTGCCCCCACCGCCAGTTAGGTGTACTCAGTAGGGACTCACCAATGACGGCGTTGGCAATGGTGATCTTGAGCCACATKCGGTCCCGGATCTCCAGCCCCGAGTCCGGCAGCTGCATGACCCGGACGACGGCACTCATGTCACTCTTCACCGTCAGGGGCGCCTCCTCCAGCTCTGCGGGACACAGCTCCCTCAGCCACGGGCAGGCATAAATGGCAGGAGCAGGGGGTGGGCAGGGGCCAGGTGGGGGCCTTTATCTGAGCCCTTGAACACCTCTCTGCAGGTTCTGGGGCCAGACCTGGGCAAGGCCACCTGCCCCACAAACAGAACCAGGCACCAGACAGCCTCTTCCCTTCCCCAAGGCCACCTCCCTGCAAGCTCAGGGCATTAGTCGTGTTACTGGCGGAGAAAGCAGAGGGCCACACACTCCCCCACCCTAACGGGCAAGGCCCGGGAAGGGCCCGAGGCAGCACGAGCAGGGGCTCCAGGCTGGGAGGCCCTGCCCTTCCGCCTTGGATTCCCACCGGGCTCTAGGGAGCTGCCACTCACGCGGGGCGCCGGGCACAGAACTGGTTAGTGAGGAGGAGCTGGTGCGGGAGACAGCGCTGGAGCAGGGGCTCGCACCGTAGCGGGGCAGRGCGCCGGTCAGCGCTGCCGTGTGGGACAGCCAGGCAGCAGGGTCGATGGGCCGCACCGGGTCAGCTGACGGCCACCGTGGGGCAGCAGACGATGGGTGATGGGCAGATGGGCGAGGTCGGGAGGGCAGGGCACAGGGAAGAGGAGAGAGGCCCTTCAGGCTGGCTCTGGCTCTGGCGCCCCCGCCCCGCCCCCGCCCCCGTGGGGCCACTCACCCCTCGGGATGGTGAAGTAGCTGCGGGGGGTCGGGTCCCAGCACTTGGCCACTGTGAGGCTGATGGGCCTGCGGGCAGGTGGTCACGTGGGTGAGGCCCGCACCCCCTCCCGCCTGCATGCCCCTCGCCCCGTGGAAACGCCCCTCACCCCGTCTGGGACACGAGCTCCCGCAGCACCCGCACAGCGTCGTCATTGCTCATGTTCTCGAAGTTGACGTCATTCACCTGCGGGGCTTGGGCATTAGGGTAGCGCGGCGGGGCCACCCAACCCGGCCCAGCCCCCAGCCCCAGGCCCGCACCTGCAGCAGCATGTCGCCGGGTTCGATGCGGCCGTCCGCGGCCACGGCCCCGCCCTTCATGATGGAGCCGATGTAGATGCCCCCGTCGCCCCGGTCGTTGCTCTGGCCCACGATGCTGATGCCCAGGAAGTGGTGCCGCTCTGTGGGAGGGGCCGTGAGCAGCTGGCCGCCCCGCCCGCCCCCCCAGCCCGGCGCCAAGCCTCACCCATGTTGAGCGTGACGGTGATGATGTTCAGGGACATGGTGGAGTCGGTGATGCTGCTGAAGGAGGAGGCCTGTGGAGGGACCTGGTGAGCCGCTGCAGTAGCCGCGCCCCCCACCGGCTGCCCACCACCTACCCGGTCCGTCTGCCGCAGGCGCTGCTTCCGCCGCCGACGCTTGTGCTTCCTAATAAGCCGGGAAGAGGTGCTCTGCTCCGTGGAGCTGCTCAGCCTGGTGGCAGGGTCAGAGGTCACGGGTCGGCAGCGGGTTCAGCTCCCGGCACGTGCGCCCAGGCCCTGSGCTTATGGCCTGTGCCTGAGCAAACACGGGGCAGGAGCTCCGCAGCCAGCCAGCCGGACACTGCTGCCCACGCCCCTGCCCACCGGCTGGTGTTGTCCTCCTCGTCCGAATCAATGAAGCTGCTGGATTCCAGCTCGCTGCTCAACACTGTGGACGCGCTGTCTGGAGGGAGCCCCAGGTCCCGACGCCGGTCTCCCCTCGGGTGCCCATTGGCCCGGGCAGCTGTGGGGGCAGCAGGGTTGAGGCTGAACACATGGCCCAGGGGTGCTGAGGCCTGAGCAGTCTGCACCTCCAGCTCCTGTAGTCTGAGCGTTGGTGAGGTGACCGGGTCRTTGGGGTCACCAGGTTTGGGGCCTGACCTCCTCTGGATGGTGCTAAGTAGGTGCTGGCAGGGCCTTGGGGGTCCTGGGGGTTTATGGCAGACAAAGCTATAGTACCTTCCTCTCGGTTTCGCCGTCGGGCTCTCTCCCGCCGGTGACTGACCATGGACTCCGTGCCAGTCTCATTGTCCATTCCATCACGACTGCTGGCCACATTTGGGCTGTGCGGACAAGAAGGGGGTGGGACAGGGCAGGCCAGGCCACCAGTGCCTCAGATATTTTCCAGATCCTCCCCTGCACCAGGTGAGCCCCTGACCCCCCAACCCATGTGTGCCCTGCCCCTGTGACAGCTCCTTCCCTCTGGGAAGGTGGTCCTTGGGCAGCAGGTACGCGAGTAGCAGGGCTTGGCCCAACCAGAATCCTTACTGGAAGGAGGGTGGCCGGGAGTCCCCAATGCCACCTGTGCGCTCGAGGGGTGGGGGAAGGTCAGTGTGGCAGTCAGTTCCCTGGGACCCTGCATCTGAATGAGCACCCTCAGCTAGGACCAACTGTGGAGGGAGAGCGGCGGCTCAGGACACCCTCCCTCTTCTTGACCAGGGTACCCAGGACATGAGGGCCAGGCCCTCCACCCTCCCTCACCCCGCCCCACACCTGCCTTCTCCCCCCAGGGAAAGCACCAGCCCCCACCATGGACACTGCCCCTGCTGATCACCCCCAGGAGCCTCCAACAGACCATCCAGGGGCTCACCCAGGAGACCACGCGACCGTTGAAGCAGGGCAGCCTGGCGTTGTCGTCCAAGATCTCCTCCTTCACCACCCTGCTGGCAGACGAGGCCATGAGACCCCACCCCAGGCCCAATACAGAGACTGGGGTGCCTGTCACACCACAGATGCCATCTCTGGGTGCCCTACCCAGCAGATTCTACTCTTATGGAGTCTTGTTATCCTCCATTGGTCCCAACCCCCCAACACTGGGGACAGTGGCTATTGACAGTTCACAGAGTCAGGCCAGGGTTCCCTTGTACCCCCAGGTCACACTGCCAGCCCGGGGCAGGCAAGGGGTTAGGAGGGTGAGGCTCCTGAGAGAGGGCCTGGCTCCCCAGCTCCCTGCCCTTCCCTGGCCCCATCTCAGACACCTCCCCAGGGTGATGCTGGTTCAGCTCCAGGCCCACCTATAGCCCTGCACCCTGTCCTGGGTCCCCAGATGCCCACCCAGCAGCCTCTCACCACGGCCACGTGGCACTCAGGGGCCCCGTTGGCTCTTGCACACCCCTCACCCCAAACCCATGTGTACCACACAGCTCTGCCTTATGACCATTCCAGAATCAGCCTCCCATCAGCCGACGCCCTGCACTCCAGTCCTGCCTGCAGCCACTGCCCCCTACTGGTCCCCAGGGTCTCCCAGAGGGACCCTTTCTCTCCAGCTTCCATGGGGTCTGGGCCACATGATGTGGTCTCACCCTGCTCACTGCTGCACCCCTAGCACAGAGCAGAGCTGGGTGCACAGCTGGCCTCAGCAAGGTGCAGGGACGGCCAGGCCTATTACAGACTGGGGTGGCAGAGAAGGCACACAGGCCTAAAGGCAGTCTGCTGCTCTCCTGGGTCGTCCACTCAGCCAGGGAGACAAAACAGACCCATGTGCACTAGACCAGCTCCAACTCTCAGGGGTCCACGGTCTCCCACAACTGAGGACCAGAATAATCAGGGACAGAACTGACCAGATGCTGGCTATACCCATTAACCAATGCCCAGCCCTGTCTTAATGCTGCCCCCCTGGGCTGAGGGCACCCAAGGAGTCTGCAGAGAGARTGCAAACAGGGAGACCAAATGACCTGGGGTCAGGGCTCACAGGGCAAGGGTAGCTGGGAAGGGGCTGYGGCCCAGACACCCAGAATGCAGCCTCCAGGGCCCAGCTATCCCAGCACCTGGCACTCCGCTCTGCCAAGCACAGTGGGATTTTCCACACCCAAGACTCTGCCTAACAGAGAAACAGGAGCCGGGAGAAAAGGCTGGGCCTGGACGTGCACCTGGCAGGAAGCAGCCTCCTGGCCTGGTGGGCCTAATGCCAGACAGGGCCACCCCTGCCTGCCACTCCAAGTCCAATGGCCCCAGGACACCTCCACCCAGCTTGCCCCAGGCGGCAGCAGGTGGCAGGAGGCCCCTGAGGAACTGGCCACCCCCTGACCTACCCAGGAAGCAAGGCCTAGCCTACCCACCCACTGAGATGAGGCCCCAGGCCTAGGGCAGAGTGGCTGGTAGATAGGACCAGCCTAGGAGGGAAGGGTACACCCCTCTGTGGTCCTGCTACTGCCGCCAGGTGCCTCCTAGGGCCCCATGCCAATGAGGTGTACACCCAGTGGACAGAGTCATTTCTTAGGATCTCAGTATCCATGTCTCTACTCAYTGGCCACACCCTGCAGAACTGGGCCAACCTTCGAGAGAGGCTGCAATCCCATCCCTGGCTGGCCAGGAGGTCTCCAGAGAAGCTCTTGGCCCTGGGGCGGCTGAGGGTGGGACAGGGGAGCCCTTGAGGGCCCTGGGGCTCCACCCACTGCCACCGATGGTCCTTGGGAACCTATCCATAGCAGACCCCAGCCAGAGTCCCCACCTTAGCCCAGCGATGGCCCCAGTGGGCCTAGCAGCTTCTCCCTGCCACACCCAAGTCCCAGCCCTCTCTGACTCACCCCTGGGAACAGGAGCAACCCCAGCACCACCTCAGGCAGGCTGCTGGTCCCCTACAGGCCCACTCCTCTCCCGGCAGCCCCAGCCAGGGCCCCCAGAGGAGCAGGGCCCCTCAGGTATGGCACTTTTTTTTTCCCATTGTCTAATCTTGCTTTATTATTTTAGCTGTTGGGGACTCCAGCCCATTTTCCCTGGTAGCAACAGATTCAGGCAGGGAACCTTTTCCCTGGGAACCTTTTCCCTTGGCGCTCAAACCACCGAGCCAGGCTGCGGTTCTGGGGATGGATGCAGACACTGCGTCGAGCCAGGTGAAGCACGAAAGCCTGGAGATGACAGTCCCCATCAGCCTCCTGCAGTTCCACCCGAATGACCTTCCTCAGTAGCTTTCTGGAGAGTGGCTGTCTGTAGAGCTGAGTACAGCAGGTAGTGCTGGGTGGCAGTAGCAATGCTTCCTGGCTTTGCCTAGTTCTGTTGCAGGAATGTCAGCTTGTCGGTAGGGGTCTGGACTTCCAGACTCAGCCCCTGGCTTACCGGGAGACATCAGACTCGARAACAAAATTACATCTCTTTTGTTCTATTTGAATTCCAGCCTCTTTCCACTGTGGGCCTAGAGAAACATTACCCACTTGCCGCCTGGCTCAGTAATACACACTTTTCCAACCCCTACACCTTCTGCCTCCCATCCAAGCACTGTAGCCCCGACTGTATCTCCTTCCTATCCTTCTTTCCCAATCCCACACCTAGGCCTTCCTCCTCTCCTCCCTCCCCCAAAGCCACACTCCCGCCCTTCCTCATCTAGTGCTTTCCAGAATGCTGGCAACTGCCTAGGGTAGGGCAGGGAGGGGGACAGGCTGTTGGGTCAGTGGCCCGGGTCCTTGCAAAACGTCCCACTCACTTCTGATCTTGGGATCTCCACCCTCAAGTCTTGCACTGCATTTGAAACATAAACTGAGTCATAACCCATTAACCCAGGCCTTATCTGGATGTTTCAGGGTGTTTTCTAGTCTTCTGATTAGGGGACAGTCATCCTCTAAGGGGTAGGTTTTTGGGATAGAGTCACACCTCCTCTGAGCACTGTTTCTGTTATAGGACTGCTTCAACAGGAAAGATGTCAGCTCCCAGAGTAGGGACTAGTTCCCCTTCAGGCTGAAAGCCTGACCTCTCCTTCTGCCAGGCTGAGGTGTGAAGGCCCCTCCCTGGAGTTTGTCTCAGGGCTCTCCAGGTCTTCTGACAGTATCTGGTGAGGTGTAGGCCCAGGACTCGACACAGCATTCCACATCTGAAGGGATCTCTGATGTAGACATTGTTAAGAAATAGCTTAAGAGCTTTGTTGCTTTCTTCAAAGAGATGACCTAGAGGTGGCTCGTCTTGAATCTTTGGTACCAGAGACCTTGGGATCCCTCTCACTCCCAGTCTGGACTTGTGCCCCAAAGCTTGGGTGTAGCCACTGAAGAACTTCCGAGGAACTCCCCCAAGATCCCCGTCATCTTGTCATAACCTTCTTCATCAGCTGGTTGCCTGTCATACACTTTGTGATCTTTCCTGGACTTGTCAATTCCAGAGAACTTCGGAAGGCAGAAAACAAAGTCTAGGTGTACACCCGTCTCTCCCCTTTGGCTTTTCCAAAGATCAGGCCAAGTCTGCTGTCCGAAGGGGCAGCCCAGGCTGAAAGTCAYTGGTCCCAGCTAGAAACTGGGCTATCTTTGTAACTTAACACCCTGGTGTCCTTCCTAATGTCGAGGTTAGTCCCTAACTAAAAGCAGGCTAACAAAGAAGTCCTCTGCTTTGGGAGTCGTCTCACCACGTTGGGAGTTAGTGGAGCCCAGGTTGACTTGAGCAACACAATAAAATGGGATGGCAGGGAGCAGTGGAAGTATCAATAACAGCTAGGTGGGTTGACGCTAAGAATATCTAAAATTGGGATGAGCCTGGAGAAGCCAGGTTGGGGGACTAACTACAGGAAAGGCCTCCAGCCCACATCAGTCTCCTGAGGCAGGTCACATGAAGAGGCAGCTTCTGAGGAATCACCCCTCCTCTGTCAGCCTGCTTCCTACAACCCTGGCTTACAGTGTTTTAGGTTCATTCCCAGGAAGGGAAGACTCTTCAGACACCCAGCAGAGTTCTGGCTAGGGGAAGGTGGTGACCAAGAGATGGGGCTGTGGGAACACATCAGCATGGGGATGAGGTGGACAGGGAGATCGGGCCAGGATTATGTGCTTCTCTCCACATAAGACTACTGACAGTGAAGGGAGTTTTTTTTTTTCTTTTTTCTTTTTCTTTTTTGGTGGTGGGGGCACAGGAAAGCAGTCACTTTTGATAGTAACAGGAAGCCTGACTTGATAGGGGCCCCTTAGGCATGGGGGCGCGGGATGATATGGAAAAGCACCCCACCAGGGAGGAAGATCCTGTCGGTATGTAAATAGGTGTGGAGAGGGGCTCCCAGTCCGAATGATGGCATCGAATGGTGGCAGCGGCGGCAGAGTCAGGAAGGCAGTATGGTGGGCTTCGCTTTAAATTTTTMATGCACCGGCTGTCTGGGCAGCGGTGGCAGGGGTGCGGCAGAGGAGGCCACGACCTGAGCGATGGGGAGCAGGGCCCAGGCCGCTCGACAGACAGCCCATCGGGCTCCAGCTTCTGCTCTCGGGGTGCGCAGAGCTCCGCTCCCTGCGCCACATTCGCAGCCAGGGGAAAAAGTAGAAACAGCCCCAGTAGATCTCCTCCTCCGCCTCCAGCGCCACCTCGTATCTCCTCAATCCCGACAGGTCCTGGAGGGGGGCTGAGGGGTCGGCGCAGCCTAAACTCTCAGGTATGGCTCTTGCCCACGTGGCAGCTCTTCCCAGGGCCCAGCAGCTCCGCTCCCCCAGCCCTCCCACTCTATACAACCCAAGTCCTGTCTTCTACCTGGATGTGGTGCCCTAGGGCGGGGGCCGGGCAGATGTGAGAGTGAGTGTGTGAGGCTGCCCACAGAGGCCAGCACAACCTCCCAGGAGCACAACAGGGTCAGGACTAGTGAGAAGCAGAAGTTACCGCCATACTTCGATACCCTAGACTGCTTGTGAACCTGGCCTCTCAGGTGGCAATGGCCTCAGCTGTCCTGCTGACCCCTGGGCAGCCACCCAGAGCACCCCAACCTAGAATTCCTAAGGAAATCCTGGTTAACCTCAAACTTGTGGCTGCTGGGTTCTGCCTGCCGCCCTTTGACCCACCCCAGGGAGGAGTCTGCGCTCAGGCAGCCTTCTCAGAGCCTGGCACCGACTGGCCAAGAAGGACCACAGACTCTCAGAGACCACAGCAAACCCTAGGCCAGCCTCCCCAGCAGTGCGGCTCCAGTGCACCTCCTCCCCCACAGAAGGAGCTGAAGGGGCAGTGCAGAGCCATCCTGAGCCCTCCCTCGAGGAGGTCCCTGTGGGTTCCTGTGAGTCAGGGTCCCAACCCCCACTAGGCCTTGGGGTGCACCAGGCCCTGATCCCAGGCCTGTGGTCTCACCAGCCACAGGCTCCCACGCTCAGCTGTGAATCCCTGGGCTGCTGGCTCTTGCACCTGCCCGGCAGGCAGCACTTCCCCAGGCTGAAGCCACATAGGCCCAAATGTCCCCACAGCTGGCCAATGTGCCACAACTACCCAGACTTTTAACACCACGGAGCCACAAGAGGTACAGAGAGGCCAAGTCACTGATTCCAGATGGCTCAGCTGAGGAGAGCAGAGGAAGAGGTGCTCAGACGTTCTGGGTCCTCTGGGCCATGAGGCACCATCAGAACACTTGTGCCCATAGACTTGTGACCATAGAACCAAGGGCTCCCAGCCCTTATCCTTGCCAGGACCATCCCCAGTCTCTGGGCCTGGGTCACATACCCTCACTCCTCTGCCTGGATGCCTACCCTGCACTTCCAATCATCAGACCCAACACCGGGCACTTCTGTGGGACCCAACAGAGGCCTTGCCCCTAAGTCCTGGGTCATCGGAGTGGGAGTACCCTTACCTGATGGGCCAAAGATACCAGGTGGGGAGTGCAGCCCAGCCCAGGGGAGGCTCTGCTCCTTACTTGTGGCCAAATGTGGTCAGCGGAAGCTCAAGGAACCCAGGACTAGCCCACAGGGGACTAGGGTTGAGGCAGGAAACCCAGACTTATCAGGGTACTCCTCATAGTAGCCAGTCTGGGTCCAGCCCTGGCAACACTGCCCAGCACAGTCAGTACCTGCCTTCTCACCCCCCAAACCAAACTAGATTCACTTGACATTTAGATAAGCTTCCAGCCCAGTGCTCATTCATGCTAGAGTGTGAGTGACTGGCCAGCCCTTCCCATCTGAAATTTATTCCACAGAATAAATGATTCTATAGACTAAGTGGAGCTTGGAGCTCTGCAGGTAGAACTCGGAGGAGGGAAGCAGCTGACGGAAGTCCTCCTCCGGGCTCCTGAGACCACCAGACTATCAGCCAAGAGGCAAGGAAGAAAGAAGGTGAGCCCACATGTCTGCTTGCTCACTGCCATGCCAGCCCAGCCTTGACCTTTGACCTTCCCTCTGCCACCCCACTCTCGTGGATACCTGAGGTCCCCAGGCTGTGCCTCTAAGCTCTCTGCCTTCTCTCTACACCCACCCATAGCCACTCCCCAGCCTGCCCAAACACCCCCAGGGCTGTCCTCAGCCCTGGTTCCCACCCCACAGAGAACAGCATGCCCTGATTCAAGACCCCAATCAGCCACCCCTCCTCCGTGAGGGCAGAGGCTCTGCCACTGCTGTGTGGTGGCAGCCCCCAGGGAGCCAGGACTGCGTGGGTCCCTGAGAGATGCACCCCAAGTGGCTCTAGATGGCCCCTAGGGGTAGGACACCCYCCTCACCACACTCTTCCTGGGAGCATGAGTTTACACAGAGGAGCATTTGTGACTTTGACTTTAGTTAAATTAATAAACTAAGTTAAAAACCCAAGCGTCCTTTCTTCCATCCCATTTCAAAGCCAGGGAGGCCTAGGCTCCGAGGAGTTCCAGGAGAGTGAGAGGGCGCCCAGCCAGAGGAGGCGGGCCAGGCTTGAGCACCCCAGGCCCTGACCTCAGGCAGCAGGAGCACCCACGCTGGGCGCTGGGGACGGCCAAGGACGCACCCTCCCCTCAGCTTCTCCTACTTCTCCTGGGTTGGGAGGACAAGAGAGTCCAAAAAGACTCTCAGCCCCCCGCCCCCAGAGTCACGGAGTGGCCCAGGCTTGACCTGACCTGGGTCTGCCCAGGGACTGTGCAACCACAGAATCCAGGAAATGGCCTCAATGTCAAAGTCCCAAGACATGGCCATACACAAGGACACTGCTTGCCTGAGGGCACCAGGCACACCTGCTAGGCCCACAGGGCCTCAGTTAGTCCTCCCCCCTTAGCAATGCGGAGGGGAGACTCAGGTTTCTGTGGCTGAGCCTGGTCAGGCCCTACTGGACAGCCACCTCCTGCTCCCAGTCCCAGAGGCCCAATTCAGCACAAGTGGGAAGTCCCTTCTCCCAGGAAGGCCACCACAGCACTCCTGCTCCAAGATGCCCAAGTCAGCAGACAGCCTGGGCTTCTCCCAGGAATGCAAGGAGGGACCAAGACCCAGCATCCAGGAACCTCAGGGAAGGGTGGGTGGCTCCAATCTCTGAACTGTCCAGGTGCCTTGGAAAAGGCAGCCAGGAGGAGCCTGCCCTGACTCCAGAAACTTTTGCAAGTCCCAGCAGACTGCTTGGGGTCCCCACTGCACCCACCCCGCATTCCCAATCCCAACTGGGGGTGTTCACTGGGTGACCTGTCCCACCCAACTCCTCSAGGCTTGACCCTCCCCTGACCCCAGCCTCCATGAAGCACAACCCCCCAGATCTGCCCTCAGCCCTGGTTCCCACCCCACAGAGAACAGCATGCCCTGAGCCCGACCAGGATCAAAAGAAGGGGGCTTAGGTTTGGGATGGACTGTCAGGGCACAGGGGACCAGCTGGACTGCCCTCAGGAAGCCAGGGTCCCCCACCTGCCCATCATTCGGAGGTCTCCGGCCCCCGCTGGCAGTCAGGGCCCCAGGGTCCCAATTTTGGCAGACAGATAGGTGCACACACCAACAAGGGCCACTAAGGTGTCGGAGCAGACCCTGGCCCTGTACACACCCTGCGCGGGGGCGCAGCTGGGCCGGCCGCGGGCGCCCAGGATCGCTGACAGCACAGACCCCGAGCCCTGCCCCACACAGACAGGTGCCCTCCCGCGCCCGCCCAGGCCGCGCGGCCCACTGACCCGAAGTCCTGATCCATGGACTTGAAAAAGAATTTGTAGGCGTGCACCGGCCGGTTGCTGAGCACGTTCTTGAAATCGGCCAGCGTGACGCGCTCGGGGGCCACGGGCAGCTTGACCAGGTACGGCGTCTCCTCCTCGTCCATGTGGTAGATGATCTTGGTCTCCGCCATGGCGCGGCGGCGGCGCGAGCCCGCGCGGCGCTCAGGGCCCGGCCCGCGGCTCGGACACGGGGCGCGCTCCCCGCCCGCCGGCCCGCGCCCCGCCCGGCCGCGCCGAGGCCCCCGCGCGCCCCCGGTTCCCGCCCGCGCTCCGGTCGCTGCCCCGCGGCCCGCGGCCGCCCATCCGCCGCCGGCCCGGGAGCGAGCGCGACGGACGCAGCACGAAGGGCCGCTGCTGCCCGCCGCCCCCTCGGGCCGCGCCGTTCCAGGACCGCCGGCCGCCCCGAGCGCGCGGCCCGCGGGGGCGCCCGAGAGCCGGCTGACGTCACCGGCCGCCCGCGGCGGGGCGGGCGGGGCTGCGCACGCGCGGGGCGGCGGGGCTGCGCGCGGGCGGGGCGCGGCGTGCGCGCGGGGCGGGAGGAGGGCTCTGGATGCACGCCCGCGCTAGCTCCCGGCTCGCTCGCCCCGGCGCCGCCCGCCCGGCCCCACTCTGCGCTCGGGCCCGGGGTCCCCGGCCTGGCGCGCGGGGCGCCCCCAACACGTGCGCCGGCCTCAGTTCCGGCTCAGTCCTGGAGTCGGGGTACCCGGACAGACTGACGCGCCCGGGGTAGAGGCGGAGGGACTCCCAGGAAGCCCCGCCCCCACCTGCGCGTCGCGTCCCCAGCTGTCAAAGGGAGGCCCCTCCCCCCGGCCAAGGCCCGCCCCCCCCATCGGAGATGCACGGGGACCAGGGGAAGCGTCCACCCTCTCCCGAGGATGCACGGGTCCTGGGTGCCCAGAGTTCGGAGGCGTCCGGTCACTCTGGCGGCCTGTGAGGTGCACCGCAGGAAGCTGAAGATACTTGTGTCATACACCGAGCCAGCAGCACTCGGTTACTCTGCTCCTGGCATTAGCCCCAAACGCCGCCCACTTCCGGATCCCATGGGTGCTCCAGGAAACTCTGGCAAAGTGAATGCTTGCCCGCGCGGGTGGAGAACTCGCGTGGCCATGGGTGTGCACAGAGGTGTCCAGGTGTGGTGCTCTGGCAGCTGCTGAGCCAGAAGAAGTTTGTCCTGTGTAGATTGGGCCAGCCAGAGGTCCTCTGCAGGGCAAGGAGGACCCAGTACACCCCCCAGGCGGTGCAGGGTCCAGCCATTTGCTGCTCTGCTGGCCTGGAGGCTTTCCCTGCCCCCACTCCAGGAGAAAGATTCCAGGCCACTAGAAGGAGTCCCAGGCTGGCCAGAATGGGGGCAATCCTAGGATGCAGTAGGAATGATGGGGGAAGGCCTGTGTCAAACCCCTTGTGACCTGGGACTCTCCCATCTGCCTGGTGGTGGTCATCCCAGGCCCTGGACCAACACGAAGAAAGACCCCCACTACTGCCTGGAAGACCCAGAAGTTGGACAGAAGTCCCCAGTATAGCCTAGGCCAAGTGTCCTGGCCCCTGTAACTTCAGCTTTGATGGGTAGGACTAGCAGGATTCTGCCATCCTGGGCACCACCTTCCCATCACCTGGAGGCAGGCCTCTCCCTTCAGGCCTTAGTTTCCCCAGCGGTAACCTGAAGAAACAGGCAGGATGGCCTTGGATGATCTGACCCTGAAAGGTCTCTGCTGGTGCCCAAGGAAAGAGGAAACCAGTCCCTGCCTTGAGAGCCCCGTAGGGGGACACAAACAGCTGTGGGTTGAGTCAGGGACTGGGGCTGGCTGCCCTCTAGCTCCCAACATTTAGCCCCAGTTGTAGAAGAGGACAGTACCCAGAGGCCTGAGGCTGATGCGGACACTGGGGCCCCACTGGGTGAGTGTGTGGCCAGAGCCTGAGCCCCTGCAGGAAGGGCTTGTCCAGTGACAGTGTAGGCACTAAGTAGGGCCACAGGCTACTAGGCTGGAAGAGAGGAGCATCTCCCCAAGCCAGCATTCCCACATACCTTGGCACTGTGGGATCCTTGAGGGTGACTGCCACCCTTTCCTGCTCCCACTATAATTTTTTTTTTTTTTTGTACCAGGGATTGAACACAGGGCCAAGGGGCACTTAAACAGTGAAACAAATCCCACAGCCCTTTTTTGTTGTTTTTTTAGACAAGGTCTCCCTAAATTGCTTAGGGCCTTGCTAAGCTGCTGAGGCTGGTTTTGAACTTGCGATCTTCCTGCCTCAGCCTCCTGACATACTGGGATTATAGGCATGTGCCACTGTGCCCAGCTCTGCCCCCACTATTCTGAGGGCACTAGAGGAGGGGCCGTGGTAGCACTTCAGGTCTGTACATACTTTCTCTCCCCACCTCTACCCCATGTGTGTGCCCATCTCCTGCACTCCATCCAGTGTCAGACCTGCATCCTGGTGAAGCCTTCCTATCCACTCCAGGTCTGCTCCTCAGAGGACTGGACGAACATGGTCCCCTCTGTCCTCATGTGCTTCCCTCCCCACCGTCCAAATAAACAGAAGAACCGAGACCCCTTCACTGTCAGGAGTAAGCAGCAGAACTGGATCCAATGTCCCCTTTCCAGGACACTTGCTCCTGAGAGGACCCAGACCTTCCACTGGCAGGGATGGACATAACTGAGGTACTTCAAGGAGAGTAAGAACACTTGTTTAGGGGTTCCTGGGGGGACCGATGGACACTTTTGTAGACATACCTGGGCCGAGTCTAAAAGTCAAATGTGGCCTTTATTGTGATGTGGCAAAACCCCCAACAAGACCAAATGTGGCAGCACACAGAATTGTCGTCACCCCCAACTCTGTCCTCAGTCAAAACAAAAACCAGATGTGGCCCCAGCCCCAGACTCCAGCCCGGGGAGGGGCATTGGTCAAGGTCGTAAGGAGCCCAGTGACTGTCAAGTGGGCCATGGAAAAAAGGGAGAGAAAGCCAGATAAAGGGTCAAAAGCAGAGGCAGAGCCAAGGGGTATCCCCATTGGCCCAAAGCAGCACAGAGGGCCTGGAGTCCTCAGTCCAAGCACAGATCAGGCAGCACCCAGAAGGGATGCTGGGCAGGGCAGTTCAGACAGGCCCTTGGGGKCTCACAGTGGCACAGAGCTCCCCTGAGAAAAGGGGATGTGCCAGCCTCCCAGCTTCCTAAGCCACCAGGTTCTGACTGAGCGTCTCTGAACATCTTCCCGCCCCTAGCAGGGAGAAGACAGGAGGGCCTGAAGGCTTGGTGAACATAGAGGATCTTGGCTGTGGCAGAAGTGGGGACAGGGCCACCAGTGGACAAAGGTGGCCAAAGTGTGGTGGCCACTGTGGCAGAGTCCCTAGGAGAATGAGGGTTATTCCTGGAAGAGGGAGTGAGGGCAGCCACTCTGGCCAGTCTGGACCAAGTTCCAGGAAAGCAAGCGGGCCAGCCGCTGGGAAGGAGCCCGGTGAGCATGGCAAGGTCAGGGGACATCCTCCAAGGCAGAGCTGCTGGCCAGCCAGGAGCCCAGGCTCCCTTTATTTGCAGTACTCTTTCCTGAACTCTGGAACCAACAGAAAAGCTGGTGTCAACTCTCTGCCCCATTCCGTGGGAAACTAAGACATTCTACAGAACTTCTCAGACTCCTGAGCGGAGATGGTGAGGCTCTTCTACCCGTGGGGCTTGCTGGAGCCCGTATCTGGGGTCCTGGGAATGAGTAGGCTGGGGTTTTGCCTGGGTCAGCAGAGGGGTGGCAGAAACCTCCCTCCCAGTGCTCACCTTTGTCCAGGTCAATGCTCTTGGCAGGCAGGGGGCTGTGGGCCAGCTCAGCCCTCTCCTTCAGGATGTTGTTCTTGTAATCTGTATGGGGGGAGCAGGGTGAGGTCCTCCCAGGGGCGCCCTCCCCAGCCCAGGCCTTCGTGTTCGGCCTACCTAGCTGAATGTCTTCACTCCTGTAAGGAGCCTGGTCCTCTTTGGCTGCAGCAAACTCCGCCAAATTCACATCCTTCCTGGAGAGGCAGCAGGTTAGAGGTGTGGCCGGCCTGGGCGGGGGCGGGGCGGGAGGCGGCACTCACCCTGGGGCCTTTGCCAACTTCTTGTCCGAGTACTCGTAGCCTGCCGATGGAGGGAGACGGTGTTGGGGGCAGCCTGGCCCCTCCCCGAGGAAGCCCCCCCCCCCGCACTTGGGCTCGCCATCCGCGGGGTCGCAGCATCCCTGAGCCCCTGGGTCTGGGAGGCTCCTGCCTCACCTCCGCGGCGGCGCTGGCGGGTGGCCAGGACCACAGTGATGAGCAGGAGGATGAAGAGCAGGAGCGTGGCCAGCACGTAGCCCAGTTGCTGGAAGAAGTGGGCCCGGCCCTCGGGGACGATGACGTTGATGACGCTGCGGCCTCGCGCCAGCGTGGGGTCTGCGGGCCAGAGGGAGGCGTCAGGCACAGGCACCAGGGGAGGAAAACTGCCGCCGCCCCCCCCCGCCGGGGGGCGCCCTCACCTGGGCCAGGGACACTGCCGTGGCCCGAGCCGTTGCCCGGCGAGGCCCGCGGAGGCGGCTCCGCAGCGGGCTCAGTGACCCTCAGGTGGAAGACCCGGCGCTCGTGCAGGCCGCAGTAGTGGTGGTGCAGGTGGCAGGAGTAGGTACCCTCGTCAGCCGGTTCCAGGGGGTCGATGCTCAGCGAGAAGTCCCCGCGGGCGAAGGCGTCGGCGCCCACCGCCACGCGGTCGCGCAGGAAGGGCGGCCCGTAGGCTCGACGCTCTCCGGACGCGTACAGGTCCAGCAGGCGGTCGGCTCGGTCGTGTGGCACCCCCGGCGGCTGCCGGTCCCAGTGCGCCACCTGCTGTGCCTCCTCCAGGTGCCGGTCGGTCCACACGTGCGCGCGGTTCACGCAGGTCAGCAGCGCGGGCGCTCCGCGCACCGCCGCCAGCACCTCCTTCTCRCCGTCCCAGTACGCGCCTGCGGCTTGGGCTGCGGAGGGGAGGGGACGGTCAGCGTCCGGCGGCGGGAGGGGCGGGGGGGCGCGCGCAGGGCACACTCACGGTCGTCGGTGACCTCGAGGCGCACGGCCAGGCTCTCGTAGAGGTGGCAGTAGTGGTGGTGCAGGTTGCAGGTGTACAGCCCCTCGTCGCCCTCCTCCACCGCTGCGCACGGCCCGCAGGGAGAGAACCGCCGCGTGAGTTTTCCCGGCCACACTCGCGCCCCAGCAGCCGGCCTTCCCCGGG